GACAGAAAAATTAATGATGTGATTAATTATTGTTAACGACTCACTTTCAAAATCAAAAACATTAAATCTGGGCCGGAAAATTATTTTCCTGAATATTTGTTTTTAATGTGAGCCGGATTTGAATTAGAGACGGCCTTATTCAAGAACCAATATTGAATTATAAAAAACCTCCCTTCTCTTAGCGTACGGCAGGGATATAAAAGGGAAGAATGAAAGAGAAAACAGTGGGGGGGGGGGGAAGAAGATTTGGAGTACTGAAAAAGAGGAAGCAAATAACAAGTGAAGATGGTGGCGTCTCTGGGTATGTAACTCGCACCATTGACACCAATTTGCTTCCACCAGTATCGGCACATATATTTACTGCGGGAACACTAAATGTTGAATCATTTGGCTTTTACAGGTACGAAGAATATATCGATTACGTATTCCCCGAAGAAAACCAGGCGACGAACCTCAAGATTTTAGAAGCCACTTATAAATGGAAAAACAGAAGTTTTCTTCCGACGACGAGTAGGATGATACATGTTCTGTAATTTTGTTCTTTGTAAATTCCAAATGTAAATACGAGCATGCCAGTGTAACTGCTTAATGTCTGGATTTTGTCGTGCTGTATTTGTGTTTTGGGAAACAAGCTTTTGAGGGAAGTTGAACTGGAGACGAGAACTTACAAACCCATGGAAAAGATACATTGAAAGGGTAAACTATATGAATGACCGTCGGACTATGTGGTTGATATATGACCATTTAACTAATAAATTGGTTCCAACATAATCTGATGTCAATTAATAAAATTGGTATAATTATATATTTTTATCCTTAATACTTTTTAAGTATGTAATTATGTTAATTTTGTTGACTGCTCTATGATTACTTCTGTTAAATGTTAATTGCAAGTAGTTATATTACAACCAATAAAATTAGTTTAGAAAACATGTAAATGGTTATAAGACATTAACAAAGGGATGTTTTTAACAAAGATAATAGGAAGATGTGGGACATAGAAAAACTTTAAAATTAGAATTTGGAATTATTTTTAAAGTATCATAATTATTTAATCAAATCAATTTTTATAGTTTTATTTATTTATTTTTGTTCTATTTAAAACATTTAATGTCTCATCTCGAGCTTGTACGTCTTTATTTATTTATAATAATAATGAGAGAACTATTATCCAAACCACACTTGCTCATTAAATGTATATTCATACAGTAACACAGAGGAAGAAATTCAACTTTGTTATTCAGTGATGAAGGCTTTACAAAGTATATAAATGAAGCATTTTGGTATAACATAGTGGGCAGTTTCCGCTTATTTATTTATTTCAGCAGCGGCAATTTCATAATACAAGGACGGCATAGCAGCCATGCCGGGTGATCTTCTTGCAGTGGAAATATGTAATTTGGGTCCTTTGCCTGGTGACGAATGGGGCAATACGGTTACTTTCGACAGGGAAAATGGTGGAGGGTTTTTGACTGATCATTTCCCATGTGCAACGAAAGCTATTTGGTATTTCTAGGGGATTCAAGCTTTTACTATCCTCATATAACGGGTTAAGTTTCGATCCGTTCCCACTAGTTATAAGCTTTTCAAACACTTTCCCTTCATTTCTGTTGTCATCTACAAATTGCAGGGGTGAGATTTCAGGGGTTGACTCAGCCGAGAAAAATCGGAACGGCACCGTCGATGAAACTTCTGAATATATGGAATGACAGAGAAAGAGAAGTAGAAGAGAATGGACAAAGTCCTTGAAACTATGTGAAGTTTTGTGTACATTGTTGTGTGAAAGTATCGGTGGACACTTGATTAATTTTATAATTCAAATTATTATTGATATGAGTAAGATACGATACAACGATGTTACTCCGACATTACGACACTAACTGTTAGCTTACAAACTCAAACTCAAGCTTTTCTAAGCTTCACCCTATCTCTTGTAATTTTTCTCACTCGTATATTCATACACTCATCTAAACCTAAGCTAGAACACACATATTTATAAGGGTATATAACCGACTGATTTGCTCCAATTCTTTGCCGCCTTACAATTCTTCACGTGATCATTATCCTTCTCGAAGCAAGACTTTACTTGCCTTGATGAATTTGCTTGTTGCAACAATTATTTTATGTTTTGCTACGTTAACTGCTTGTAATTTTTAAGTTGCTAAATATGCTTATGATGCTGCCACATGCTTTCCAAGCTGCTGCCACCATTTCATCTTTCAATTGCCACATGTTGATTGGTCTTTAACTATGGTTTACCCTCATTCAAGTATCTTCTTAACATTTTCATAAGTTTCTGTTTTTCATCAATTGCCAACTGTGTTGCCGACATCCGTCGAAAAATCAAGTTTGAATTCTAACACGACCATTGGCAAATCTTCCATCCACCAAAGGCTGCCATTTAGGGATTGTAGTTTACATCATTTTCCTTGATCAAAACATGTAATCTCTAACCATAGATTGATAACATGTGATCTACAACAAAGGGGACTGCCGACTGGGAAAAGATCGCTAAGGAGGCGGCGAGGACTATTCCGGGAAGACAGAATGGGGGAAACTGTGACATCAAAAACCTCAGTAGAGGTTCAAAAATATATCTTCATTAGCACAGGTGACATGCATTTTTCTCAAGGTGACGGTGAAGTCTCATTTTGCGGAGCAATTGAGATGAGAGGTTTTCTCGAGCTTAAGTGAGTTATTTAGTTCCATCTGCAATTATTTAGACTAAAATCAGCAATAGTTCTCAGGCTGTTGCATGTATTCAGTTGTTTTTGTAATTGGAGTGTGCTTTAATGGATGCGAAATCATAAGAGGTGGAGTGAAACAGTAGCTCACGCCAATGGGACCAACCCTTCTTCGTGTAAATCCGTCCTGCACATTTCCTTGACGCTAGTGTTGCATACAAGCGTGCGGTACTCAATGCAATCGACTACCTCTCCAAGTTCGGGTACTCGAAAGAACAGGTACGTTAAACCCTTGATATATATCGAGCCTCTACTTGAAAAATTCACCTATGGTTAAGCCATTACTGGTCCATACGAAACAACGGTGATCATCAGATTTACCTTCTGCTATCCTGCTGCCCTTGCGAAGGACGGATCTCCGGGATCGTAGACTCACCAAACGCCGTTGCAACTCTTGCAATTCCAACTGCCGTCTTCGACCAGGTATCGTTCTCCAGAAATTTAACACATAGTATCATCATTCTAGATTTTCAGGCTTCGTAAACTCGACTTGCATGATATAAAATTTTAAAGAGACAATGTGCAGGACATTCGTACGAAAGCTGGGAAGGTGCCAGTGGGGCGTCGAGTAGTGAGAAAACGAGACGTGTTAAAATGCAGTTACGATGGAAATCTTGCCACAACGAAGAACCCAGCTGCCTCCATGTAACTCAAGTCTAAGGAGCTAACTGTAATGTAAAGAATAAGGTCCAACGGTGTTTCAAACACGAATAAGATCATATCCTTAATAGAATGTCGTATGTTATAAGAGATTTTCTAAGACAATCTCTATTCATGCTTCATCTAGTTGAACGCTAACCCCGACCATTAAATTTCTTTATAATAAACATTTCATTGTCGTTTCTCCTTTCTAAATCTTAATTTTCTCTCAATATTTTTGTACATTTTCTTCTATCTTTTTTTTATTTTTGTTTAACTGACGATCGATCGGAGATTATTATTTTATTTTTTTCTTAAATCTTTTTTATTTTAAATAAAAATCTATGTCGCTGGGATAGAAAACAACAAAGGAAACATAAATTGTTCACTTGGAATAGAATATTACTTTCTTGTGTGATAGGAACACTCCAAATATATAAGTTTCCACATAACCTTATCAAATTAAAACAATACTCATTATTTACTTTTGTAGTAAGAAACTTCACATCTTTTGAATTTCTTCACTCGAAAGAAAATAATTATTATTTTTATTTTAGGATAAGTAAATTATGTTGGCAAAGCAAAGAATTTTACATTGAACATAAAATGTTTGAATATAAGTTATTTTTCCATATCTATGTACAACATCTAAGGGAAATTTCTCTCTTTTTCTAATCTCATACAAAATTCATTCATTTTATTTCTTGGAATATTATCTTATGATCGTCGGATAATAACTAAAAAAAATATTCTTCGCCTCAATTCTATCAGTATCGATTGATTTTCATTTCAATATCTGAGTGTACGAATATTGAAGAATTGTGTCGAATTCATAGGGAAACGTTCATTTGAGCGATTACATCAATCAGGTTGTATTCATTATCAAGGTAATAGTTTTTTCATGATTTGATTTATTTCATTTGAATTGTTTTTCTCTGTTGCTAATGTTTTATTTTACAACCATCTAATTTTCCAACAAATTATAATATAATACACATTCTATTTAATAAAATAAATATTTTAAACATTTTGATTTAATATAATTGTATAAAAATTAATACAAAACAGGGAATACTAATTTCAACTTGCAATCAATCCTCTCACTCTTCCACTATTTTTTTGTTTGTTTGTTATTTTTGTCCAGTAAAATGGGTGAGATGAAACATATTCTCCACGAGCACAGCTTGAGCCCTATTCAAGCTGAGGAAGAGGATGACAATGTGTGCTGCATGGGATGCATGGAGACTATCCATGGTCCTGCCTATTATTGTAAAATTTGTACTGACGATGATAAGTTTTTTTATGCACAAATCATGCGCCGAGTTGCCCCATCTAATACAAAGCGACGCTTTTCATCCCCACCCGCTCAGATTCAGTATTTTCTTTTTCTTCTTTGTGTGCGATGGATGTGGAAGGGTGTCGGTAGCTCCCATCACTTACAAGTGCATCCATTGTGCGTTCAGACTTGATGTTAGATGCGCAAGAGCTTTTTCAAACGATGATGAGCTATTTATCCATCGGGCCATGCAAGAAGCCAGACAAATTAAAACCACAATTCGCCATTTCAGCCACAATCATCCACTCATCCACTGTAAGTTTCATGTTCAACCGATGTTAATGGCGTCAGTGAAAATAAAATGCATGGCATGCAAACATGAGCTTCAAGGGTCTCTGGTCTACGCCTGCCTGCCTTGTTACTTTTTTCTTCATGATTCATGCATAAATGTCATGCCAAGGCAAGTTCAAAGTCCATTTCATCCACAACATACTCTTCTTGCTGGAGCAATTCGATTGAGTTATTTCCATACATGTTATGCTTGTGAGGAAACTGTTCAAGGCATCTGCTTCTTCTGTGACGAATGCGATGTTAGCCTGCACTTGTCATGTGCTAAGTATCACACTCGTGCTATAAAGCATATTTTCCATCCTCACCCCCTTCTGTATATGGGGAAGACCATTGCCGCTGAGATATCCTGTCATGCATGTCTTAGAAAAGATCCCCGTGATTCCTTCAGATGTACGGAGTGTGATTTTCGTATACACGTTGAGTGTATTTCAATACCCACCCGTGTTGAACATCCACGCCATTTGCATTCACTTGTGCTTATAAATTCCTTTATTGAAGATGAATCTGGAGATTATTGCTGCGACATATGCGAGACAGAAAGGAACTCAGAACATCATGTTTATTATTGTGAAGAATGCTCTTTTATTGCACATATTTATTGTGTCGCTCCCGAGGTAACACACCTAAGTTATTTATCCAAAATTTAGACGAAAGTACGAAAATTAACTATTTTTTACTTCTCTTTTCTTAGTTTGGGCATACAGAAAAGATGCTTATGGATCAAATGCAAATAGAAGAGAAATCTAACGAAAGTTTGGAATCGGAAATGATGTCGGTGGACCATGGAAAGGTTAGTCTGAATCAACTTAATAGTTAGCTTCCTTGTCTAAATTACATCCACTCTTGATTCATATATAAATACCAGAATGAATGAGCTTAGCCTAATGCATATATAATGCTTTTGTTGGGCAGATGGTACAAATTGATTTTTTTCATCCTCATCCGCTAATGCTCAACGATGAAGCAGGGGCCATGTTCGTGTGTAATGGTTGTGGAGAATTGAGCCGTGGTTCTTCTTACAATTGTAGCCTGTGTTGGTTCAGCCTTGATGCCAAATGTGCTGCTTTAAAATTAGATGATGATGTTGCTAAACATGATGCAGAGAAAGCAAAGCAAATCAAAACCACAATCTCCCATTTTGGCCACACCCATCAGTTGACCCGTTGCAAGATTGAAGCTCTGCAAACAGAGCTCAATGGTGAGTACTGCAAAGCATGCAGAAATGGCATTGGTGGTTCAATGTATGTTTGTCTATTTTGTGAAATCTGTTTTCATGAATCTTGTCTCTTGGACATGCCTTCCCAAGTTCACAGTCCGTTCCATCCACATCCTCTTCTCCTGTATGTGTCCGATAATACCAAAGGAGGTTGTCATGTTTGCGGAAACGATGTTGGGGCCATTACGCTTATCTGTTTTCATTGTCGAATCGGAATGCATCCTTCGTGCGCCATGTACCAAACTCGTGAGTTAAAGCATGAGCGTCATGTTCATCTTCTTCAACATTTCGGGAAAAACAATTTTGCTGACAGGTCTTACGAGTGTAACGCATGTGGTGCATACTGTAGAGACACCTTCTTCTGCTGCCTCGCGTGTAAATTCTACATACATCTCGAGTGTATTACCGTACATCGTCAAACATGTGCGTCATTCGCATCCACTTACGCTTTCAAAGTCGGTAGTTGAAGATGATTCAGAAAACTACTACTGTGATACGTGTGAAACAAAAAGGAATCCGGAACTCGATGTCTACTACTGCAAAGAGTGCAACTATATTGCACATATTGACTGCGTGCTTTCAGAGGTAAGCGGGGTCATTTTCGTCTTACTAGAAGTACCAATATGCACAGAAAATTTATATCCTTATTTGTCAAAATGCTTGAAACTAAAATTCGATGCATACTTTTATTCAGATTGAACCTCCAGAAGAGATATTTGAGTATCTAGCTCCTAGGTCCGAAGGAGAAGGGTGACGAACTTTGATTCATCTTTGCCACCTAAAAGATGTTCATATGTGTACTACTTTCATAAGGAGTGATGAAATACCAAACCTGATTGTGTCTTAAAAATAATTTGTTTATCTTGTAATATATTTTCATCTTATTATAATTAATCAGTATTTATACCTTGTTCATGCTCCATCGAGACAATTAATGAAAAATATTTTCACATTTATTTTCACAATAGAACGTTGAGGCTTAGGGATCACAATTGGACTTGATCAATACGAGTCAATCCTTGTTCATGCTTCATCGAGTTGGACACTTTGTTGCCTTCCACCTTATGTTACGATCACACAACAATTGCATTCGATAACACATCTTGGTATTGAGGAACCGGGTTCGGATTGATTCTGGATTATAAATCCAAATACAACCTTGGGAAAGTACTTGTAATTTCTACTGGAATGAAGGTCTACTCATTTTTTTCACAAGTTCTGTGCTGCGCTGCTCAGCTAGCTCAAAGCAGACAATAATCAATTGCGCGGCAGCTATTTCCGAGGGAAAAAGTGACGCTGTTAACGAGATCCTGACCTGATTAACGCAGGCTGTTAAATCCAAAGGGAACTCAGAGCAGAGGTTGATGGAGTGCATGTTGAAGGAGCTAACCTTAGCACAGGTGACATGAAAATTAATTATTTTTCTTTGCTCTTTTGTAAGTTTGAGCATACAACAGAGATGTCTATGGATCAACTACGAATAGAAGAGAAATCTACCGAAAGTTTGGAATCGGAAAGGATATCGATGGATGATGGAAAGGTTAGTCTGAAATCTGAATCAACTACATTCACTCCAATGACTTGAATCAAATATAAATTCCAGAGTGATTGGGCTTAGCCTAATGCAAATATAATGCTTTTGTTGGGCAGATGATACAAAATGATTTTTTTCATCCTCATCCGCTAATTCTCAAAGATGAAGAAGAGATGTGTTTGTGTGTAACGGTTGTGGAGAATTGTGCCGTGGTTCTTCTTACGATTGTAGCCTATGTTCGTTCAGCCTTAATGCCAGATGTTCTGCTTTAAAGTTAGATGATGATGTTGCTAAACATGATGCAGAGAAAGCAAAGCAAATCAAAACCACAATCTCCCATTTTGGCCACATCCATCAGTTGACCTGTTGCAAGGTTAATACTTTGCAAACAGATCTCAATTATGAGCATTGTGAAGCATGCAGACATGGCGTTGGTGGTTTAATGTATGTTTGTCTCTTTTTTGGAATCTCTTTTCATGAATCCTGCCTCATGGACATGCCTACGCAAGTTCAGAGTCCATTCCACCCACATCTTCTTCACCTATATGTGTCACTACAAAAAAAGTTATGTTTGCAGAGGAGATTATGCTCATCTGTTTTGATTGTGACATCCGAATGCATTTTTCGTGCGCCACGTACCAAACTCGTGAGTTAAAGCATGGCCGCCATATTCGTCGTCTTCAACATTTCAGGAAAAACATTTTTGCCGACATGTCTCACAAGTGTAATGCATGTGGTGCATACTGTAGAGACGCCTTCTTCTGCTGTCTCGACTGTAAATTCTACATGCATCTCGAATGTATTCTGCTACCGTACATCGTCAAGCATGTACATCATTTGCATCAACTTACACTTATAAAATCGGTGGTTGAAGATGATTCAGGAAACTACTACTGTGATACGTACGAAACAAAAAGGAACCCGGAACTCGATGTCTACTACTGCAAAGAGTGCGATTATATAGCACATATTGACTGCGTGCTTTCAGAGGTAAGTCGGGTCATGTTCTTCTTATTAGAAGTACCAATATGCACAGAAAACTTATATGGCTATTTGACAAAATGCTTGAAACTAAAATTTGATCAGCATTTTTATTAAGATTGAACCTCTGGAAGATAATTCAGTATCTAGTTCCTCGGATAAGGAGGCTGAACAACTTTGATTGATCTTTGCCACCTAAAAGATGTTCATACATGTACTACTTCCATAAGGAGTGATGAAATAACGAACCTTATAATATAGTATTTGAACCTTATAATATATTTATTTTTTCTTGTCATTTTAAAAGATCAAAAGATAGATTCCCACTGAACTTTTGGATTAGGAGAACATCAATAGATTTGATTTATGAAGGCTAAATAAATTTGAGCTTATAAAATTTTAAGATAAATTTGAACCTAAATTTTTTTAAAGAATTAAAACAAATTTTAACAAATTTTAAAGAATTTTCAAGTCACAATTGTTTAATCCTTCCTCGGTCCATCCTTGGTTAAGGCTCTTCTTTTTGGCCTTTGTTGTGAGTTCATAATAACAGTTGAAAAATGATAAATCGAAGTTCTTCATTTGCATGTAATATTATTAAATTGATCCTTCTTTTATAACCGGATAAATCACATCAATCATCCCTGAATTTTATTTTTTCCTATTTCACTCGCCGTACTTTAAATATGTTCAATTTCCTCACTGAATTTAACATAATTAACATTTTTTGTCACTCGACCGTTAAATATTTAACGGCCTTAATTATAAAAAAAAATTCTCATCCATACGGTGTTGCTTCGTATCTATATAACAACACATTTACCTTTTATAATTTTTCTAATATATTAAAATTGATATAATACCTTTTTTCTTCCAAAATAAACACCACAGCCCGACAAAGTGCTTGAAATACGTCTACAGCTGAAGAAATCAATGAGTTTTGTTCTGTTTTTTTCCCGATTTGATTCAACCAAGTAAAATTATCCTGCTTCGTTATGATATTTTATTAAAATATCATTTTCGTAAGTTTGAGTCGAATTGAAAACAAATTAAATTATATTAAAATCGATATAATATGAATTTTAAGTTACCACTGAATTAAACCAAAAACTCGGGGAAGAAAATTAGAAAATATTAATTAGTATATACGAAATCCTGAACAATTTTATTGTTCAATTTTTTAACAAATAATAATAATAATCATTTATACATAAAAAAAGCTACCCAAATATATCTTATAAAAGCCTGAACAACTTATTTATGTCCACAGAAACAAAAGTCACAACCAATATGTACCAAGATTCTCGTGATACAAAGGATTTTCTAGCCATATATATCCTATTCATATATCCATAATATTTGCTTATTCATTAATGAAGTGAGTGTATATATATATATATATCGACTTGACCCTAAGGAAATTCTCCGGATAATGTCTACGATGGAACCATTAGGCAAACGAATGGTGGAATCGCTGCAGTTTTAATCTGAACTGACATGATTTACATCTTTTGCACCAATTATATAGAATTGGGGAGCTCACTTTACCGGTAAATCGTGGATTTCACGCATCCGCTTCCCTTCTAATCCCGTTCTCTTCCGCGCTGGACATGAGCCTTAATTGTTGCTGCAACTGCATGATGATAGTAAAATCATCAGAGCCAATGGATAAAAGAAGGGTTGAAGACTATGTTACTCGAACTTGAGTGTCAATGTCGGGACATGTGCATGTGTTTGATATAGGTTTATTCAATTAGTTCTATTCTGCGGATTCTTAAATGTCCATGTTCCAAAATATGTCAGACGCTGGTACTTGAAGATAAATAAATAGTCGGAGTAACATATTTAATGGACGAATCAGGAATCAAGTGAGGGGGGTTGTTTAAACCTAGGACAAGAACCAAAATTGGATAGACATAACAATGGAACAAAGTAGAGAATCATAACCGTTGCAAACGTAATTATATAAAAGCTGGTAAAGAAACTCACTTGATCATGTTTCAACTTTTCAGCAGTCAGTTCATCACTCAAATTCAACATTCTGCAGAAAAGTTTTTAAGGGAGAATATCAGAAGAAAGTGATATATATATATATATAGGTGGAAAGAATGGAAGAACTACTTTGTATCAACTTAGAAGACAAACCTAGATTGAAGCTCAGAGATCTTGCCAAGCAGTAAACGCTCCCTCTCGGAAGCTGCTGTTTCAGCCTATTGACAAAGAAAATCTAATAAGAGAAGAAAGAATAACCCACTAGAAATTAGTCATCATAAACATAGATAAAAGGTTCTTACATTTCCATTGCTATCAGAACGAGGTAGAGGAGGCAACTTTCCGTTTTGTGAGGCTGCTAAAAGAGGGAAACTGATCACTTTACTAATAAGAAGTGTATTTACTAATCTAAACAGGAAAGACCACTTCCACTAACCATCTACAACCTCAGTGGACTGTAAGGTGTTCAACAAATTCACGATAAGATCCTAGCAGAGCAAAAGAAACCCAGTGAGAACATCATTAATCATAACGCTAAAAAACATTCTATCAGCAAATGATTGTCCCAAGCTTAAGACTTTACCTGTTGAAGCGAAGTCTGCTGAAAAAGATTCTGAAGGTGAGTCATAACAATTGATACAGGCACATTTCCATTGGTTTCCTTGGGGGGATGATTGGTAGGCTGAAAAACAGGGGGAAGAGGTCAACTAATAAAATAAGCAAACTTTTTTATGTGGTGCAGTGGCATACAAATCAGATTAACATGTTCCACTACCAGATAGATGGAGACACAAATAAGATGAGATGAATTTATATCTGTTCTGTATAAAGTGTGGTTATTAAGTTATTACACACAGGTATTACCCTTCTTTTTTGTGTGTATCATTATCATTTTCTGGTACCATACAGCTCATTTTAATATGAATAATCATAGAGAACAAAGTTGCGCGAGGCAAGTTTCATGTGTTTTTCAGAAGGTGTGTGCCACTCCAGCAGTTCTTATTTTGTGGCACACACCTTCAGACTTAGATCCTGCATCTATAAGAAACCCTTAAGGTGTTATAATAAAATGAAATAATACATAAAGTCCCAATCATTGATGTTAAAAGAAAATAGAGTGCACAGACCACTTGTTTGGATTCAAATTTCCAGTCACCTACGCTAGCAGACTTTCTGAGAGGTGAAGTCTGAAACACCAGAACAAACAGAGCGACTAATAAGAAGTTGCCAATTAGCACACTGAATAGAAGGATATTAAGGAAAGGGCAACAACCCACCTGTGAAGATCGGCGTGAAACCGTAGTTAAAGGAATATCCTGAGGAACATTATTTGGTTAGTAAAGTTGCACAGAAGAAGAAATATAGCATTAAAATTGCCTTAAAAATGGAACCTTACCTTTACAAGATCTAAATTTTCTGATGTTACTGAAAAACGACCTTTGATTTGCACCAGATTAGCCTTTGATTTTTCATCCAAAGAATCCCTAAACCCTGTTCAAGGAGAAACAGAATTCTACAATAAATATATAAAAAAAAGTAGCCAATGGTGGTGATGCTGATGATAAAAACAAACAAGGATTCTAAATGCCATGACTTTATTACCTCCTGATGATTTAATAGGAGCTGACAAGCTGTTTGCAGATGCTCGAGTAGGAAGCATCAATGGACCACTAAAGCTTGGTGCTTTACGAACTTGGCAAACTTTTTCACGAGCCAGTAAATTTTCATTTTCAAACCTGATCATCAGCAGGCCATTAGCTCAAAATCTACAATTTGTACTTACATCTCCGATGATATATAAATTATTTACTCAAGGTAAAATAGGTAAGAGGTTGATCACATAAACTGTAAATCATTTTCTTACTCATCCTTCAAATTGTCAACTATAGAAAACCCCACAAGAAACTATATTAAAATATGAACATACCGGTAACCAATCAGTCATAACCAAATGCTCTGTTGAATCAACTTCACATTAGAATCAAGACTTGTTAGATTTTCGCCTATACTTTTGTTATTGGAGAGAGTGAATGGCAGAGAACTAAAAATATCCCACAGCAGCAGTATATTTTTATGACCACTTTGCTTTTCACTACCCCAACATTTAAACCATGTTAAATTAAAATATGATTCAACAGCAAAAGCAAAAAACATGAGTAAAATTAAGTGTCATAGATTTCATCTATTCTCACAATCACAGAAGGCAAGACCTACGTTATGTTTGGTAGTTAAAATGATGATCATTTCCTGCAGCCGATTCATATAACAAATTGAGCCCCCTCCCCATATGTTGTACTCTCTGTTAAACAGCAGTTTGAACAAAATGTGCTATACTCTCAGGTTGTTATGTACTGGGTTGTTGTGTTGTTCGGTGGTAGATGATGTTTAGTTGTATTTTGGTCTTTTGTACTCATTGTGAGGGTGTGTTTTCGGTTCAATCATGCATCAGCTTAATTTTTAGCTTGTCCGAGCCAGATGTGTCTTGGTCTGAGATTGTTTGGAGGGGGTCAGTTCCTCCTAAAGTGGAGGTTTTTCTTTGGCAGGTGATCCATCAGAAGTTGGCTGTCAAGACTGTTTACTGAGCAGAGGTGTTCAAGGTATTGAGGATTCTAAATGCACGGTTTGTAGCTTAGAGCCGGAATCAGTTTGTCACTTGTTCTTTTCTTGTAAAGTGGTTTGGGAGATTTGGGTGCGATGGTTTTCTAGAGCAGCCTATTTGTGTAGTGCCAAGCATTCGAGGGGCTGTTTGACTATCAAACATTTTGATACTCAAATCTGTCTAGCTAATACAGTTGAGCATGAGATTCATTATAGTTCATAATGTTTGATATACTTGAAAGCTGTAGGGTTAACAGCTCTCAATTCTGCTTTCATGGTTGGAGTTAAGGCCTAATTCGGATATTAGGAAATTTGTGTCGGGTGCGGTTTTGTGGACTGTTTGGAATTGCAGGAATCAGATAGTGTTCGAGAATGGAAAGCTGGATAAAGCTAATCTCTTCTTTTTGGTGAGGTATAGGGTGGCTTCTAGGTTCTTGGCTAAAAACAGTGATTTCTCTATCCAGGTAGACAGCCTTGTGGGTGACTTAACCTTGGCTGATGTGCACCGTTCCCCTTCAAAGTTTGGTTTGTCTAAGCCAAAGTGGTGTCCTCCCCCTTCGGGTTATTTTAAAATGAATGTTGATGGGGCTGTTAATTTTGACTGGAGGTGCAGTGGTATTGGAGGTCTTCTCAGGGATGCTGATAATAAGAGGTTGGGTTCTTTCTCAAGAGCGACTGGACCATGCCCACCGATCCTTGCAGAGATTTTAGCGATAAAAGTAGGGTTAGATTTGTTTTTTTGACTCGGTTTGGAGGGATAAGGGGATTCTGATTTTAGAGAGTGATTCCTCTCTTGCTTTGAAGTGGATCAACAACCCGGATACTTGCCCGGTTCGCTATGTTGATTTGGCTAGAGATATTCAAAAGACTGTACTGCATTTCAATGTTATAACTAGGCATGTAAAGAGATGTATTAATGGGGAAGCTGATTGTTTAGCTAAATCAGGCATAGGATAGTGTGAGGAGAGGTTTTGGTTCGGTGAGAATGAGGGTGCTGGGTGTTTTATTGGGGGGCTTTGTACTGTTTATGTTTGGTTTTGGTTGTATCTTATGTTTGGTAATAAAATTTTGGGGATTCTTTTCTCCCTTCCAATGACTTTGGAGTTCTACGGAGCTTGATAATTATGAAGGGGGTTTTTAACGAGGCCTTATTCCTATAAAAAATGTTGTCTCTGGTTTTTAGTAATAAAATTTTAAGGAACTATTTTCCTCCTTCCAATGTCCGTTGAGCTACCTTTGTAGCTTGACGGTTCTGAAGAGTTTTTTAACGAGGCCTATCTTTTCTATCAAAAATAAATAAATGGAAGACATAAATGGCCTAGCAAACCTACTATGAACCACGACTGACCTTTCAGAGTTACGAACCCGATCTGAAGATGAAAGATTAAGAACAGCACCCGGTGTAAGTGGCCCGCTTTGGGTTTGCCTAGGTTTCGCTGTTTTAGCGCTGGTCAAAACAATATCCTTTTCTGAAGTTGACGCCATAACATCAGTGTTTGGTCCATTTTTCCTCAAATCCTTCTCCTGGAAGCTAGCTTCAACTATATTACATTCCACATTCTTTCCCGTTCCATCCAAGCAATCAGACTGCGATAAGTCAACATTCCTTGGTCCTCCAAATTCAACCTGAGCTACTTCCCTATTTAAATTCAGGTTTCCTGAACTAGATTCACAGTAAGCTGCACCCTGTCGAACAAAACCAAAAACCAATTAACATAGTTTGCTAAAATGGAAAAAAAAGGAAGAATATACTTCTTTCTTGATAAAAAAAAGTATAATTTTAACCATTTCGAGATACAAATCACAACTGCTAACAGCTAAAAGTACAACTGCTGACCTTATGACTAAGGCTTGTTTTCATGCTTTCGTCATCTTTGCACTCTTGAATATCATCATCATCACGCACCTTTAGCATGGTGAAAAATGAATGTAATCCGAGTTATTGGTGAAACGAACAAAGAAATTATTTCCAATACTATCTGTCTGCATAAAAATCTTTTTATTGACGGTTAAAACTAAAAATTGGCCTACCAGAGATGCTTGTGCTTTCAAATCTTCAATATCAAAATTCCACGCACTAACTCCCCTTTGGTACTCACTCTGACACGCACAAGATATATTATTAGAAAAAAAGGCAAAACTAATTTATGATAAAAGTTACGTCCATTTGATGGGATCTAACCTGTGATAAAGCTTCTTGTTCTGCTGAAGGCATTTTCTTTAGTGCTAGCTGTGCAGCATCTTTAATCTGTGATAGAAAGAAAAGCATTGGACAAATACTATGGAAACATGACGCAACACCCGCAGTGTGGCATTGTGATCACTAACCTGAAGGGCTTTCACACGATTCCAAAGTGGTGGTAGATCAGCAAATAATTTCTTCACAGAAAGCTCAGGAGACTTTGCATGCTTGAAAAATGAGTGTTTTAATAACTTCTCTACAGTTGGCCTCTTTGTTTGATCTTTAACCAGGCACATTGCAACCATTTCTTTAAAAGACTGATCACAACTGGAAGTCATTTAATTAGGAAATTGCTATCACAACTAAGCAATTGCAAAATACCATTAGGACCAATTAATGTTTAATTTGCATAATGAAAAGTAGCATGTCTGCCACTGTGATGATTCAGCCAGAAAGAGTAGCAGTACTTTAGAGAACTTTTTATCACGATCATAATCTAGTCCTGGTGGAGCATTTTGTATGGTCATCAGGAGAACCTGTTTTTGTTAGAAAGAGAAGTTGTAAAACAAAACCATTCGTTAAGAAACCGTGTTACAAACACTCATTGTACAGCTTTTATATAAATTATGGTTATATTTTCAACGGGGATTGGATACCTTCATAGGTGGATATTTCGAAAAAGGTGCATGACCATGAGCCAACTCCAGTGCCGTTATGCCAAATGACCATATATCAGCCCTTTGCAAAAAAAATGCAATCTTTTAATGAAATTACAAATTTGACATGGAAAACAAAATGCACCAAAAGATACCTCAACTCATAATGCACCCAAGCCAAGCTTAATATTCATTGACTATATAAACTATAGCCAGTCTCGCATAAAGTACCATTTGAACATTTAAGCATTGCAATGTAAATGCAAATTGGCAACTCTGAGGAGCATAGATACTTTAATAATAAGCCATGATGTGCAGAAAAAGAGAAATTTTGGGTTTTGGAAGAAATATATCACTCAAACCTACATCATAAGACCCTGTCAATTCAAACACATAGATTACCAGGCCTACTGAACCATGTATGATAATTATATGTATTTAAGCAAAATTAAAAGATCTTAAATTCTTTTCAAAGTATTAAACACAGATTATGAACTGACTTGGAGTTCTGCTCCTACTTTCTTTAGTTCTTTGGTTGGGAAAATTGTATCTTTAGTTTCGGCTAGGGAGATTATTGTTAGGCACATTCCTAGGAGTTGTAATTGGGAGGCTGATTCTTTGGCTAAGCAGGGATTTGGTTGATTTTTGTCTGTGTTTTTTAAGCTGTTTGTGCTAGGAGTTTGTTTCTTATTCTGGTGTTTAAGATGTATTCCTATAAACTGATGTATTTTTTTTCATTATCTATAAAACGAGGCACTCTTTTCCTCCTTCTGCTAGTTGCCTTGTTCATGGGGCAACTATGAGGGAGGTTTTTAATGAGGCCTTATACTTCTATCAAAAAAATGAACTGACTTGGAGTTATATCCACTTCCAGGCTGCAAGACCTCTGGTGCCATCCTGCAAAAAGCAAGTATAAATTGGAATCTCAAATCACGGAAATTCAAAAAGGAAAAAGCAAACCTATCACTCTATCAGTGGCATCAAAGCAGGAGAGGTGCCAAATAGAGAGAACTATTAGACAGATTTTGACAAAGATTGCTCACCAACAAGGAGTCCCAACAAAGGTGTTTCTAGAACGCTGTCTATCTCCTGAATCAAACATGCAAGCTGAAACACCAAAGTCGGCGAGCTTTATTGTGCCATTGTTATCAAGCAGTATGTTTCCAGCCTGTAATGTCGATTAAAAAACTCAAATCAAAGGAGTGACAAATAAATTTGGATAGAATGATGTGAACTTAAATTGTGCACTGACCTTAACATCCCGATGAATGTGTCCTTGTCGATGAAGATAATCCAAAGCCTTAAGAGTTTCTTTCAGAATAGAACCAATAGCAGGCTCTTCGAAACCGTCAGGATAAGCTATCTTCATGAGGTGCAAACAGGAACCCTCTGACATGAAGGGCATGACTACCCAAAGGTTACGGTCAACTACAAAGGAACAATATGCCCGAATAACATTTGGGTGATCAATCAAACTCATTGTTTGAGCTTCCCTTCGTATGTCATCCTACAAAAAAGCCTTAGCAGTCAAGACAGCCACTCAAGAGCAAGATGTTACAAAAAGTGAAGCTATCCGCTAACATAAAGAGTAGAAAATTTAGTGCTATACTATATCGCACATGGTACAACAAATGTATAACTTGTTCAGGAATGATCTACAGTAATGAGACAGACAAACATACCAGAAGTTTAGCATAGATGAACTCGAGTTGAGGCCTAGATTTGACATAAGAGCAGAATAGGGAAAGGAAAAGGGTAGGTGTAGAGACTAGTACTGTGCTATCTCCCTTGTTTAGAGAACATTTTAACATAAAGTTTAAAATCACCACTAGCTAGTAAAAACTTTTACATCTCTTTTACTCTAATTGGAATGAATCTCACTGATCTCTCAACCCTTTCTTTAGTTGAGTAGCAAAAATCATATTCATATGAGAACATAATCAGTATATTGCTAGAGTATGCACAAAGACCAATCATATGATGATTGTATTGACATATTTTATTTACCGTATTTATCAAATAAAGGCATTACCGTTGTTTCCTTTTATTGTATTTATGTGCATTAAATAAACTAAAAGATAATAATGTTTGTATATTAATGTGATTATTATTAAAAGATCCTTAGTCAAATATTATTATGGGCATGGATAGTAATAATATGCTTAAGACTAACATGTTACTGATTGATGACAATGAGTTGTCATTACCATAGAGATGTCAAAATTAATACATGAATATATTGTTAGAGAACAATATATTGGATTGACCTGCTATAAGCATATGTCTTGGATTATTATTTGATGGTCACAATATTGCTCATAGTGACAACTATATGTATAATCCTTAGACTTGAGATCATTACAATCTCAACATATATTGTTGTATGTTTCGATACAGTTAAACATGCTCCGTAACTGGTTGCACTATAAAGACTAACATTGAACAAATCATGATATATGTAGTGGGGTGTGAATGATCGAGATAGGATTTATACTTCCTACACAATAAGAAATATATCACAGACCACTTGATTGAGTGAGACTATAAATACATGGCCATGCTCGAATAAATTGATATAAGATATCACAAATTATTCACTTATTATAGTCTACTCTAGATATCATGAAATAATAGATTGGCTACACGTGTGATTATTCAAAGACTTGTATATATAAATGACAAAAAGATATAATACATTAAAAGAGTTAGTCACAGACATGTTATGTCGAATCAAGACTTCTCGTAACTTAGGTAACAATGACATATTGTTAGATGTCACTCATTGTTTGTAATATTAAAATAGTTCTAATTATTACTACTAATATTAAAGGAACCTACAGGGTCATACACAATGGTTGAAAAAAGAGAGCAACTTATAAATCTGTCACATATGTACAATTTGATTGTACATGAATAAAATGTGTATTTAATATTAATATATACATATATATATGATATATACATGTGAGTAATTTTAATTACACATGAATACTGAATTTAATTAAAATAATGTAATTATACTTTTAATTAAATTCGGATTTAAAAACCCTAATAGCTAGGGTGACACATATATTGGTCTAGCAGTCGTTAATCCCTTTTGAAAATTCTGAAACTCCTAGAACAGTTTTAGAGAAAGGTTTTGCTCTCAACTGCTTTTCAACCGGGTGAACTAAGTAAAGGCCGAGACGATTTTTCGTGGAGGCTAGGATTCAAACCGTTCGTGATCACCATTAGTCACGGTTGTCTTTGTTGATTTTCAAGGTACTCAATGTAAGTAATCGCATCCATTCCTCACGATTTTTAATTTAACGTACTTGGATAGCTGGTGAGACCATCGTGTTTCCGCTGAGTCATGGTGTGCGCCGACGGTCCCAACATATATCAAGTGGACAGTAATTTAATTTCATATGTAATCCCAACTTAAAGAAAGTTTTCCCAAAACAAAGTAGACAAAAATATCACATGGAACAACTGGTGCTACCATTACAAAGTATAAATAACCACGAAATGTTGATGGACTATCTTTAGTAGACATGGTAGCAAAGGCAATCCAGCATTAAAATACCACAGCAAAATTCACGGCATGGAAGCTAAAAATAAACCCTCCTATTTAAATGGTATCTTATGGAATAACACTAAATTTACTTTTCTTGCTTCCTCATACAGAAAAAAAAGCGTTCAACATCGAGCGTTTTAATATCAGGCATTATCTAGAAGACTAGAACTATAGAAACAATTTAATACAAAAAAAAAGCTTCAATTGAATCATCGCTCAAAATTTAATAACTGCGAATTAAAAAATATTGAAAAAACAAATTTCAATGATAAAAAGGTAAGAATCTCTGAAATCTATCAAATTCAGCGACAAACAATCAGCGAAATCAACAATCAAATCAATTCTAATCAAAATGAATTGAAATTAAATCAACTTACCGTCACTTATTTGACTAAAAACAGCCAAAGTAAAGAACAAAAAAGGAAAAAGAGAAGACGAACCAGATTACTATTACAGCGATCGAGATCCAAACACTTAACAGCTACGACGTCGTTGAGAGGAAGATAGATCGCTCTATAAACAGTAGCACTGGCGCCATAACCAACCTCTTCCAAGAGCCTGTAATCGCTATGATTTGCCGAGTAACTCCGGCTTCCTCCCATTCTCCGCGAGCCCTAGAAAACCTTAAACTGACGCCGTTGTAACCAAACCAAATATCATCCAGAAATCGCCGACCAAAGCCTCCGGCGGAGAAATTAAAGTAAAAAAGAGTTATGGTGAGAAAATCAAACAACAAGGCGGCTTGGTTTGATCCGTTGACCGCCAAAAGCAGCGAATATAGAGGGAACTGGTTTGAGCCTTGTGAGAAGAGAGGGAGAACCGGGGTGGGACGCGTGCTGACGTGGCTGTTTGCTGCTAGGAGATTGGAATCCTGACACGTGGATCTGATGCTTTCGTTTTATGAATTAATTTATCCATCATTCATTAATGGTCTAGTTATGAATTTCATCCCTTTTTTTTTTACAACAATTAAAGCGTTGGGCACTCTGTTTTAATTTATAAGGATTTGATCCTCTCATTTTTCAAAATTTTAAAAATTAGTTTAATTGGGTAAAACTATTTATATGTAATGAATTAAATAATAATAATTCAATAAATAATATATTTAAATTTTAATAGTTAATTACGTAATTTCTTAATTTTTAAAATATAATAATTAAATTCTAATAAATTAATATAAACAATTTAATTTCTCAATTTTCATAAAATAAAGAGATGAAGTTTATAATTAAAAATTTATTTTACTTTATTAGATTTTGATATGTGGGCGGTAATTTTGTTTCTATATTTATATATACAATTTACTTTTTTTAGTAATTGGTCTTTCTATAAAGGTTGATAAATCCGTGAATTTATATATATATATATTGATATTATATAAATATAATTGGATTCTCTGATTTTATTCTCCTATAATTTAGGAATGTCATAATTAATCTCTTACCATAACTAATAAAAGATAAACAAAATTAAGATCGTGATTCCTCACTAATAAGGAAAAAACAAATAAAGTATTACTATATAATTTTAATTTAAATTGAATGTTTTAACATGTTATGAGAATGATTTTTTTCATTTTAATTTTTTATATACATAACATTATTATTTTAACTTTTAATCTTACTTAAATTATTTAATATTTCAATTTGCTAAACTAATTACTAATAGATAAAAGAAAACACATAAAATATTTTTCATATAATATTAAGAGGGATGATCCCGAGTCGGGTCAAATTAAATTTTTTGCTCATACAAACCCGTCCAAATATAATATCATGCCACCAACTCAATTTACTTCATTCGCAATCGCCAGGATTTGAATCTTTAACCTTACTTAAGATATAATATTAATAGGGATGATCCTGAGTCGGGTCAAATTAAAATTTTTGCTCATACAAACCCGACCAAGTATAATATCATGTCACCAACCCAGTTTGGTCCATTCGCAATCGTCAGAATTTGAATCGTTAACCTTACTTAAGATATCTAATGTCTTACCCTACTAGACCAAACAGTTGTTGGATAGAGAGAAAACTCTTCAAATTCAAGTAAAATATTCATCCAAAATATTATATATACCGAATCTATTAAAAAAATAAATATCAAAAGTAACTAAAACCTAAAAGTGGACCGAACCATTGCAAGTTTAGGAAGAATCACGTGAACAAAGTCATTTCAATTTTTTGGTGGATTTGTGGATGAGTTGCAGTGGGATTTAAACTTGCTTCACTGCTTTGTTCGATTGGATGGCTATAATGATAAAAGGATAAAAGAAACGTTTAAAGATAAATAAATACATGGAAATATATATATAATATTATAAAAATACTTTAAAATTCATATAATAATTAAGCTTTTCTTTTCTTGAATTAAGTACTCATGTATCAAATAGAACATGTAACTGGGCAGCACTTTCATCTTTCATTAATGCTCTATGTCATCTAACGACCAGAAGAACACAGCTAAGGATCCGAAAACAACAAAACCAAGTTCTTATGAGACAGAAAATCCCCATGTGGGTAGCTAATTAGGCATTGGTGGGGTACGTGATGTTAGCTATAAGTTTTCATTATGCACTGCGGTTGTTGCTTACATTATTGCTCCATTTCCGGCCATTCTGCAAATGTATATGGTAGTTGCTGGTCTCACTGGCATAAACATGGCCGGTGACTATGGGAGGGCAGAACTATTTGCACTGACACACACGTACATATAAGATATGCACTGATTCAAAAGATTACAAATTCAAGCAGAGCAAGAGAAGATGCTGCAGAATAAGCATAGTCTAACAGGGTTTTAACCAGGTTTGAGTTGCAACAAGAACTAAAACAATAATGGCAAAGAACAGAAGCAAAAGGAGAAAACTAATGTGTAAAATTTTGTAGCTCGATAATTACAAATCAAGACTGAACATTCTAAATTGCTGATTTTTTTTCAGCGTCGCCACTGTCACGAACAGTCACTCTCAAATGAAGAGTAAGTGCAGGCAATACATCATAGTAATATGATCTCATTACTTACTTGGTACAGGGAGTTTGGCAATCAGCCGCTTGTTTCAAGCAGGGATGTAAAGTACCTCAGATCCCTAAATATTGCAAGAGTTGAGGAACCGGACAAGGAAATTGATAAAAAAAAACGAAAGAAAGAAGGGAGAGGGTTGTACTAAATCTTGTTGTGCAGGTTGACCACCAAGTCATGGGCGTCATCCAGAAGCTTCCAGACATCCAATTGTCCAGCCATACTATTGCATTCTCTCATTATCTCGTCCATGCTGCTGTACATCTCTATGATCTGCTTCCTCCTTTGCAAAACGCATGCTGCGATTGCATAAAGCAAAAGATCATCGGTAGGGGGAGGTCTAAGTCTCATCCTCCCCCAACCAGTCTTTGTAATACCGGCACGAATCGCTGCCTGGTCTGCCCAAACCACTTCCCAGAGGCAAAGAGTCTGCTCAAAGTTTAACTCCCTCCTGAAAAGTACAACAACCATTCTATACACGAAGAAGCAATCCTCTGCTTGAAGCTCCTCCAGATGTTTATATAAATGAATATCCTTACACCTGATAATCTTGGACACAATGTTCAACTGTCTTCTAATGCCCACTTCGTCAAGTCGGAAATTGTGACGAGCTTTTTTCATGAAACCTGCAAAGCACCAGAAAGCTAAAAAGTCATCCTCTACCACTGAGATAATTGGAGAGAGCAGATCGCTCATTCCTTGGCAGTAACCTATCTCAGGATCGTAAAGGGTATAGGCCTCAAGTATAGCAACCAGCCGAGCCGCATGATAAATCCTGCATGGCTCTAGGTGATCATATTCCTTCAAGCCAACACTCTCAGTCAACTGTTGTACTTTGATTTCTGATACTGAAGCCTGAGATGAAGCATAAGCAATCCATTCATCATTTGCCCTCACCGCATCAACACGGATGATTCTCTGCCACGTGGAAAAATCTTCATCCGCGTGGGGTTTGGACCTGCCTTTTATCGGGGAAGCAGCGGAAGTATCATTCTCATGTTCACTGATACTATTTTCCTCGGTTATCTCTGAGGCAATGAGGGGTGTGTTTTCAAGTTCTTCAGAGGAGTCAGAATCAGAGGATTCCCTCTCACTATTAGAACCATCCTCACAAGTAATTGCACTCCTATCAATATCTCCCTCCAAAACTGAGTCAGAAGATTGAAGGGTTTGACAACTTTGATCACGCAGAGGATGATCAGAATCATCAACATCAGGGCTTTCACCCTCAGTGGAATAAGACCTTCTAGCAATAACCACATCCTCTAAGCCTAGAGAATCAACAACTTGGCCCAAATCCTCACTGTCTTCATTGTGGTTGTTTCCAGCAGTTTCCTTCACCTTACAGCTATTCTCAAACTCAATACGTCTATGAATTTGGTGACACCGTTTCCGCAAGCTTTCAAACTCTTTCCTGTATCAGAAAGTACACAAATAAAAATCTTAAAAAGGAGAAAAAAAGATAGAAAGAGAAGAATAAGAATGTAACAGTAAGAAAGAATTGGCTGTATTTTGAGGAAGCACAACAATGAAAATAATTTCACCTTTTCCGTCTTCTAACAGATTCTCTTTCTTCCTTCGAACTGTTGATGTCATATCTGTTAAGCATGCAGACATCACAGTTAGTTGGTGACCTGGTTTAACCAGTCAGTTATGATCCACATCTAAACTGTTTTCCATAAAAGTAATTAATATGACAAAATTCCAGAAAAGTAACTAATAAGTCCATAAAGAGCCAAGATATGATAGGAAGATGAAACAATGATTCATTAGAAAAAGAAATCAGGCCACTAGCCAGTAATCCGGAAGGAACAATCTAACCTAGAGGTTTAAGAGGTTTAAGAGTTACTAGCCAGTAATCAGGCAAAGTATAAAGTTATAGATAAAGAGTAGAAGTATACGGATCTTACACTCCAAGGAGGAATGGCCATACCTCTGCTCTAATACTTGGATCAACACCCTGCATTCAAGATGAAAAGAAAGATATCTCAAACAAAATATCCCTAAAAAAGAATAAGCCAGATAAAGGAGAAGGCAAATAAGTCTGGAACTATATTAAGAACATACTCCACTTCGAACTTTCTTCAGAAACTTGACACCACCATCATTAAGTTTACCATCCTCTGTGAATAAACTTTTCCATTGCTTAGGTTGAAGCACATGTTTTCTTCTTCTATGGGACCAGGGCGATTTGAGGCTACCCCTACAGAAAGAAACAAAATTACAAACTCTTTTTTATCGAGATAATCATAACTGGAAAAAATAAGTTAAAAGAAATTTAACATGCAATAAATATGAATAGCAGTTCTTATCATTTTGGATAAAAACATAAAATAACAGGTATTCATTTTGTTAGTGCATGATTTATGAAATAATCAAGCCCATACACCTGTAGAATAGTAATGCATCACATGAAGCTGAGAAGGTACATAGAAGAGTCGAGACAGGTAAGCAAAAAACCTCAACTATTCTGCAAATAGTATTGATTGCAAGTAATTGCATCACTAAGAGGGTCCGTTACAGTTGCAAACAAAGATGAGAACAAGCTTCAATCAAAATACAATGGTAACAACTACATATCCTAATGAATAGCTATGATGAAGCACAATTAACATACAAATCATGACTAATATTACACTTTAAATGAGAATTGTGATAACTATCTCGAATTTTGATCAGCACTACCAAAATGTGAGAATAATTACGACAGCAGACCAGCATGATCAACATCAGAAATGAATAGTTAAAGCTTTCAAATAATAACCACGTTCAGAAACTACAGAGGAAGAAAATATGAGATAGGAATCGAGCTCCTATTAACAACTTAAGTATTATTCGACAACATACAGATGAGGATCTAAGAACAAAAAGAATAATAGAATGAAAAATAAGGGAGGAATGGATGTAAAATTAGAAACTATAAATCCTGGCAAATATAACAAGATATGTAGAAATGTAAGAAAATTCAACAATCAGCTGGAAGTAATGAGGATAATGAATAACGATGGAGAAGATAAAGAAGATTTAATTATTCAACGGCGATGTTAAGGACGATGATGGCAACGAAGATGTTTGACTTTGACGTAGTATTCTGATCAACGGTAATTCGATCAGTTTATTCGGTAACAGTATTGAAATACATCCAATTTACCTAATTAACAATAAACAGACAATCTAAGCTGCGAAATCACGGCCGCGATTTAAAACGAGAATGAAGCTACAATTTTCGAGAGAAAGAATCTGATTCGCGATTCCTTACCTTCGAGAATAAACGATGCTGGCGGCGAGGGCAATACCGGCTATGGCAGTGACGGCGATGGCAACGCCAGAAGGCGAAACCACAGCGTAATAAGACCAGAAACCGCCGCCGCCGCCACGGCCACCGCCGACGGTGCTAGCTTCCGCGAATAAGATCCATTTCTTAAAACCTGCAATGCCGTCGTCGGATAAGAGAAATAGCATGAAAAAGGCGATGTAAGGTAAGCCGATGGTGAAGCCTAAGCCGCTGAGATCCCGACTCGAATTTCTCCGCTTCTCTGGCTCGTTCTTCTTCTTCTTCTTCCGGTATGCGGAGCGGAAGAAAGCACTAACCATCACCAAACAGAGGGAACCGCTTGCGCCTTGCTCTTCTTCTTTATTTTATCTGATAATTTTCGTTTTGATCTTTTGGATGATTATTTATTTACGATTCCTATTATTATATTCAATTGAAAGCTTTTGCTCGCTCTTGATGAAACGCAGTAAATGTAATATAATAATAAGGATGTATTTCTTTACCTTTCATTGTTGAGTATAGACTGTGTGAACGAGAGGAAGAGAGAGAAGGTGACCGAAAGTGTTCGCGAAAAGAAGATGGCAAGTTTCAGATTCCCATGATTGTGGCAACTTTTGGGCCTTTAAGTTCGGCCCATTTTTTCCTAATTCTGCGGTAAAATTAGCCCACTGGGCTAATCATTTAACCCTATACAACACCAGATATTTTATTTTGATAATTACGGTATTTGTTACAATAACTTGTAGGAGTGTTTATTTTCACCGAAGTTCGATTAATTCGATCAACTACTGAACTAGTTCGGTCGAGGAATAATTAATATTTTCAATATTCAGTTAACATTTATTTCAGTTCGTAATCGATTAATTAACCGAAATAACCAAAATTATTAAATATTAAATATATTATATATATATTATATACAGATTTTAAGCACAAACTTATTTAGAATTAAGATACAATTATTTTTTAGCCACACTAGACTCATTAAATTATTAATACATAATTAAATTTTAAACCAAATAAAAATAATTCTATTATATTCAAATTAATCTAATTTAAAAAATTATAAAAAATTTGGTTAATTCGGATAACCGACCGGAATAATCAAACTTTATTTGATTCGATTAATATTTAAAAAAAAATCAGTTTGGTCGATGATTGAATTAACTAATTAAACACCCCTAGTGACTTGGGACTAGACACGTGGGTATGATAAATTCTAATAAAATATTTTTTTGATTGTAACTCGTCACTCTAATGTGACAAAATTCTAATAAAAATTATATTTTTTAAATTTGTCACTCCGGCGTGATAAATTTGAATAATAGAACCCACATAATGAGTTTACTACACACTCTAACATTTATCATAAATCTCAAATTGATTTGGAAATTGATCTAATGAGTCAATTCTTTTTCGGCCGACCTATTGGATTAATTTTACCTAATTTTACTTATAGTATTCACTTTATATATGAGTTATATTATAAATTCGTTAGTTCTAATATAAATGAAAATTTTATTACAAAATTTGAGTAAGATGAGACAAAATTAAGAATGGTGAAATTATATGAATTTAATAAGTTTTAATAGATCTTATAAAGTTAGGGATTTGTAAATTTAGATTTCATTCGAGTTTAAGCTTATAATAAAATTAAGAATTTAAAAAGTCATTTTATAACTACTTAAAAACGTAATGACTATTTTATAATATTCTAGATAAGTTTGAGTACACTTTTTCCTATTAGGTAAAACTATGTAAATTGAAGTTGAATTGAAGAAACAAATGTTATATAACGAAGGAGAGTGTTGTTACTTAAGAAGTATTGAGTTTGAGTAATTGTTTTTATATTATTGATGGTTAAAAATTATAAACATATAGTATTTTATAATTACTTAAATTATTTGAATAAAAGTATAATAATAAAATTACCCTTAACATTTGCACAAATGGTCATTTTGTCTCCTATACTTTTATTTTTGGAGCATTTTAGCCCATAATGTTTCATTTTGAAACAAAATATATCCTGATCGGATGAAACTTGTTAGTTGACTAACTGTTAATGATTCATACAAACGTGACAAGTACATGTGTGATGTCACCTTAACAAAAAAAACATTTTAGAACAAACTATAATTATGATTAAACACATGGACCTACCAAATCAATAGTGAGTATTGATCGTTAATCAACTAACAATTATCATTCACCCAAGGGTCATTTTGCTCTAAACTAAAATGCTGGAAGCTAAAATACTCCCAAAAAAAATAGGATAAAGAGTAAAATGACCATATGTGCAAACATCAGGATAATTTAATTAGCCTTAAGGGTCACATTTGCCCTTGTAATAAAGTCAATTTATCATTTTCTCTCCTATCGTATTTTCGCATCAATTTAACCATCGAAGTTGCTCAATTGCATAATTATATACATTTCTCTTAACTTAAAACCCTAAATCATAAGCCCTAAATTAGTATAAGGTTTAGGGTTTTAGGGTTATGATCTAGGGGTTATATTTTATAAATTAGGGTTTTAAGTTAGAGTTGTGGTATAGAATGATGTAATCGACCAACTTCAAGAGTAAAAAACGATGCGAAAATGTATACCTACGAAAGTAATAAATTGAGTTTAAGGTTTAATTATTATTCCTTAAATGCTCTAAACTTTATTACATCATGACCCAATCACCCAAATATAGAAGTTTTGGTGGATAGAAGGAGTCTCAAATAGAAGTCATTTAGTAGTTGAACTACTCCATGAACAAAACCAGTAATCAGCTCAACTTCCAGCCAACCATACACCAAAGTTCCTCATCCATAGTTATTTCAGATGAATAAATAATTGTGTGTATATATACTCTAAAAGCCCCACACCACCGTATAGCCAATACACATTTCACTTCCTCAAAATCAAACCTTCATTTAACATCTCTAACTCAACCTTGGTAATGGCCACCACCAAGGAAGTCGACCAGCGAACCGGAGCGGAGATCGTCTACGGAGCCGAAGACTGCTACCGCCACTCCTTGGAGCTCCTGCAAGAACTGGGGTTCCCTAAAGGCGTGCTTCCGTTGAAAGACCTCGTAGAATGTGGACGGGTTAGGGAAACCGGGTTCATCTGGATGAAACAGAAGGCGCCGTACGAGCATTTCTTCGCCGGCACGAATACTAAGGTGAGCTACGCGGCGGAGGTTACCGCTTACGTAGAGAAGTTCAGGATGAAGAAGATGACCGGGGTTAAGAGCAAACAGGTTTTCATATGGGTGCCGATAACCGAGATGAGCATCGACGATGCTACCGGCGACAAGATGTACTTCAAAACTCCGATGGGGATCGGGAAATCGTTTCCGGTGACGGCGTTCATGACGGAGGAGGAGGAGAAGAAGTATTTGGAGGACAAGAAAGCAATGAGTGAAAAATATTGATGTTATTACTGCAATTTTTCTAATGTTTTCTTCGAGAAGGTGCATTGGTCCCATGGGACCAAACTATGATATCTTTAGTTTTGTTTGTTTTCTTTATTATTAATTATTTAAAAAAGCTTTTATCTATCGCAATTAAATAGTTTATATTTTTGCTACATGCCATTTTATTAAAAATTTAGAAAATATCTTTTAAATAATAATTTTTTTTAAATATTTTGATTATTAATAATTATAATATAATTAATTGATTATTTATTATATTTCAGACTCATCTTTATAATTAAAAAAATTGGTTAAATGTCAATTTACTCATTGTATTCTAAATTTGTCGTTAAATATATATATTTAAATAATAAAGTCGTAGCTAAAAATAGAAAACTTATCGAAAAAGGAAATAGAAAGCTCTAAATATTAATTTTATATTTGTATGAAGCATATATAAAATAATACAGACTTCTACCTCTGGCCTTGTCTAGGGTGGGTTGAATATTCACTTCCTTCTCTTTCAACAGACCAATATGGCCAAACTCGCTTTGGGCTCCACAATCACCACATCCCTTTCCCTCCACAGATATCACCCAGTCACCGCCTGCCACGTCGCTACTCCCTCCACCACAACCAGCGGCATGGTATCATCCCCCGATCACCACCCTTCCCTGGAGGTCATAGGCGGAGCTCGCGACCGCTTCCTCCCAGCTCTCCACTCCACCCTCCGCCAACCCTACCAACCTTTCCCCCTCGTCGGTTGGAACCGATACGTCGAGACCATCTTCGCCTCCTTCCGCAACGTCCCCGACGTCAGGTTACGCCGAGAATGCCTCCGTGTCGAAGACGGCGGCACCGTCGCGCTCGACTGGGTCTCCGGTGACCAGTACAGCCTCCCTCCCGATGCCCCGATCCTCATTGTGCTGGTATAACATGAAATGCTATCATCATCTTTGAAAATAAACACTACTAGTTAGTTAATCATCTTATCCAAGACACTTGGAATTTTACTTTCACTTGTTTTTTTCTTTGAAATTTGCAGCCGGGTTTGACCGGAGGAAGCCAGGATTCATATCCACGACATATGATAACTAAAGCAAGAAGCAAAGGGTGGCGCGCCGTGGTTTTCAATAGCCGAGGTTGTGGCGAGAGTCCAGTCACCACTCCTCAAGTAGTTATTACCCTTTTATTCTCCTCTATTTCGGCGATTCGCGTTCTGTTAATAATAATTGTATATATATACACCTGTGCGTCTGTAGTTCTATTCAGCTTCCTCTGTTGGAGACATGCGTGAAGTAGTGGCACATGTTGGCTCTAGATACCCAGAAGCTAATTTGTATGTTGTTAGTTGGTCTCTTGGTGCTAACATTCTTGTTCGATATCTTGGTGATGTAAGATCGCAACATAAAGGCCTATATATATTGCTTTAGATCGTTTCATTTGATGTCATTGGTTGAAATGTGTTTCTTCGTCGTCAAATGCTTACCTTTTCCTTCCTATTGGAAGTAGCTCCAACCAGAGTAAAATTTAGTTGGTCTCTAGTGTGAATGCATGTGTTCGATAAGGAATGTTCAACTTTTTTTTCTTGGTTTTGGAGATCCCTTGGAGGAGCTTATCCTATATTCATACCTCATAACGTGTCGGACACTATGCTTAAGAGTAGGAACATAGGTGACAGATTAAAGTTAGTTAACCAGAGTAAAATTTGGTAACGATATTCATACTCGAGTGTGAGTGCATGTGTTCGATACAGAATGTTCAACTTTTTCTGGGTTTCTTTTCATGGTTTTGGGGAGTCCTTGAAGGATCAGATCCTACGTTCATATCCTCATAATGTATCGGACATGATACTTAAGAGTATGAACATAGGTGACAGATGAAAGTCAGTGTACCCCTGTCTTTGTATGTTAGAGTTGACGCTAAAATATGGCTTGAATAGTTGTTTTTAATCTGATTTTGCTACTGGCCTACTCTATGTTCGTTGCTTTGGAGTATGAAAATTGTGTACTTCTTCGATCCCATTCTGCTCTCTCTTCTTCATCTTCATTTGTTCCTTTGGTTGCACTCCACTTGCAGGAATCTCATGCTTGCCCTCTTCCCGGTGCTGTCTCGTTGTGTAATCCTTTCAATTTGGTCGATGCTTTCGAGGAATTCACCAAGGGATTTAACCGTGTTTACGACCAAGCTCTTGCTAGATCCATCCGTGAAATATTCAAGAAGTAATTCTCCATAAGCCACTTTTATCAACTCGACATTCCAGTTTCCTCATCATCACTTGAATCCTTTGTGTTCCATATTTGTTAATTTAAGTATTTAAATTAATATTTTTGTATACCACACCTCTAATATTTAATAGGCTTAAACATATAAAAATTGTCTAACTTATTCCCTTTTTACAATATAGTGTCACCCTTTTATTCGTTTCATTTTGGTGTCTAATGTTTTATTTTGTTATTCAAAATGGATTCAGCCATAACGGGTCATTAAGTTTGGCCTTAACCCATTAAAAATGTCAATTGACATATTTTTAGGGTAAAATATATAAATAATCCCCAAACTTTTAGGGTATTTCAGTTTGATCACCCTGTTAAACTCCTCTTCTTCTTTTTCTATCGTCGTTTCCCAAAGATCGTTGTGGGTGGCCCTTTGAAACTCCGTCGAAAACCTTAAAACCAATCGTTGATATTCTTTACACTTTCGACCACCGTAGGTCGTATTGTTGCCACCAACGTGATCGTCATCCACCAGCGACCAAAACCCAACCACCCTCGCACCGTGAATCGTTGTCGTTTGTCGTGGAGAACGATTTAAAGCTTCGTCAGAAAACACTAAACCATTGTCGTTGCTTTCACGATTTTTGCGCCAATCCCAAGCTTCGTTCTCCTCACTGCCACCCGGTTCCCTGCTTTGTTCCGACCAAAACCCAACCAATATCATTCCCTCCCGTCGTCGTTTCCTCCATTCGCTGTCGGGGTAAGCTCTGGTTACTTTATATTTAATTTTTGAGGTGATCAAAATGCAACACCCTAAAAATTTGGGGATTATTTATACATTTTACCCTAAAAAATATTAGCTGGCATTTTTAATGGGTTAACAGCCAAACTTAACGGCTCGTTATGGCTTGACCCATTTTGAGTAACGGAATGAAACGTTAAGCACCAAACTGAAACAAAAAAAAACGTTATGCACTAAACTAGAAAAAAGAGCATAGGTTGGACCTTTTGTATATTTAATCCTATAACTTGATATGTGAATACAATTAACTAAGCAACTCAGATGGCTTAATCAAACATGGTGAATTCACTGCTTTTTTTTTCTCTTTTATAAATTAACTTCTTGTTGATTTCTCCCAAATTTCCTCGAGTTCGTTGGCGAATTCCCTTTGTCGACCGACAACGATCGTAATGTGATCTTTGTTTTCGACGACCTTAACTCGAGCACGAGGGATTCTCCTCTTAACATTATAGCTACATTCGAGTGGGATAACCTCGTCGTCCTTGCCGTGGAACACATTGACGTCGCAGTTTAGCCGGTCACGGACGACATCCAAGTAGCGGTCGAGCTTGCCGGCGGTGCCAAAAATAATGTTGTGTAGAGTATGCCAGGAGGCGATATGGTTGTGTCGGATGAACCCTTCGAGCAAGTAGGTCCTCATCCTGGCAACAAAAGAAACAACATTAATAGATAGTTGTAATAAAAGTTGCATTGAAAGTCGAGAGAGATGATAGATGCTGATTCAGTGGCATAAGTTAATGAGTTTTTTATGAGTAGAGAAGGGGATGCCAGAAACCCTAATAAATGAAATGCACCCAATTCGCTTCTTGCATTAAACATCTATCTCCATCAATTGTGATTTTATTCATAATTATATTTTACTCAATAGATTAAAAATAAATTTGATTCGATCATAAATAAGTAGATGTTGAGTTTAAATTTTTATGTATGTAGAAAATTCATATAAGAATATTCATCCACTAAAATCATGTGTATAATACATGTCGATCCAAATGAATCATAACAAAACCCTAAAATCCGGAGAGAAAAAAATGAAATGGACCATTTTGAACAGTGCCCAAAGTAAAGTACAAGGCTGAAATGAACTAATCTACCAAACTTCCTTTGGATGGTGAGATTTACTTTGTGGCCAATGCTCCACCACTTGTAGGGTAGCTGTGCTGGGATAAATGGGGTTAGGTGGGTAAAATTTATGAATGGTCGTGAAATTTTTCATGTTTTGGTTGAAGCAACAGAACTTCAATTAAGTGTTCAGTGGAAATTATAACTTACTTGTTTCTGGTGACGAGTTTAAAGAGAAAATCCCACAACCGGTGATTCTTGCATAAAACCAACGAAACCGTTCGGGCGATGTGCTCGTAGCGTCCGCCAACAGACGCGCAAAACGCCATCGGTGGCCACACCCGTCGTGGCGCTACTCGTCGCATAACATATTGAGTCGCCGGTTCACCTTTCGGCACTTGATAATACGGCTGCCATTGCACATTCATAGACATTAAACGGGCTGCAAATGGTAAAAGCTTAATGAATGGATACAGGAATTTACTTTACCGGTGCAAGTAAGGTGAGGGACTTGACGGATCCCGGGTGTTTAACGGCGATAGCGAGGGCTAAAATGCAGCCTAACGAATGTGCCACGATGTGGAAAGACTCGACATTGTAAGCTTTGAGCACGGATTTTTCGATCATTTCGACATGTTCTCGTAAGGTGTAAAGCGAATCGTTCGGCTTCGGGCTTCGAGCGAAACCGAGTAAATCGACCGCTAAGAACCGGTAAGTTGATTTAGCTTTTCTCGAAAAGTTGGGGAACAAAGTTTCACTCCAAAATGCTGATGATGAGACGAAGCCATGGATGAATAACACATCTTCCTTTGCCTTATCTGACATGATCACAAATGAGAGATTAATAGCGATATAATGACAATCAAAGTTAATTCAGAGTAATATTTTATTGAATAAAAGGTTTATAGGTCTAGAGGTCTCCTCGACTCTCGACCTGTGAACCTGTAACGCTCTCTGTAGAGCCGAGTACCTTTGGGGCTCTCGGTTTTAACATAGAGGGCGCCTTTAGTAGAATAGGTCCAAGAATTGCAGAAATGGCAATCACAGTCGGACCAACGAGTAATGGGGTACAAATGCTGCCCGATCATCCTTCCTTGAAGCATTTTAACAATGGTGGAGTTGACGGTGATCGTCGATCTCATCGTTCCTTTCTTGATCTTGTCGTTTGATTGTACAAAATCTGCTTCGAACTTGAGCTTCTTGAGCTCGTTAACGGTGAGCTTCGAGATTTCGGCGACAAACGAAGGCCGTGAATAAAGGGTGTCCGAAATTTCCTCCAACTGCAACCTGCTTGAACTGAGACAAACAACCTCGGACCCTTTCTCCCCTCCCTCCGACACGATGATCTTGCCGGCGCCGCAACCAGGCTTCTTCCATTCAGATTCAATGCAGAAATCAAGGACAGTGTAAGCAAAACATAGAACTAAATCAACAAGGTCGAGGAAACAAAAGACAACGAAGCTAACAGCTACGTTCAAAACCGCTCTAGTTTTAAACATTACATCCATTTCAGACAACCCCATCGGAGACCACAAGAGATCAAGAGAGAGAGAGAGAGAGACAAAAAAGGACAATCAACAATGTGGAAGGTAAGGATTTGGGTTTTTTTCCAGAGACATAAACTATGATCTCATGCCTCTTTACACAAGCTGTCTGAAAACTGGTGGACGCTGTTTTAGTCAATCCACCATGATCGACATTTTCTCGATCTTTAAACCCAGGAAGCTTTGAGTGATGAAAATGGAAGAGTGAGATAGAAAGAGTCAAAGAAGCACACAAACAAGTGCGGGATCAATGAATTCATGGATTGATGTAACATGGTCTTGTAGGCCAGAGATTAAAAACAAGGTAGTTGGTGGTTGAACCTCCACCTCGAAAGAAACAATTCTTACAAAACTCTTCTCTTTTTTTCGTCCTGTATAAACCCTAATTTTAATCTTCCTTCACATACCTTATCGTTGGGGTTTAAGGTTACTAAATATTCTGTTGACATCTCAATTCTAATTTAAGACAATATTAATCCATTGTTAGAGATTTAATCAATATCCAATAGTAATTCTTTACTTACTGTGCTCATTTATTGATAATAAATAATATCTCACTAATTAACTGATTATTTAGTATAACGTAATTCTCAATATATGAATTTACGCGGTTGTTGTTAGAAATCAAACTTGATTTCTAATGACAAATATGCGTGTGCAACAAAACGTGGCAAATGGAGATGGATTCATAAGTAAATTCCATGTAACAAAGCAATGTGAAAATGCTATGGAATTAGTTGGCATCTATACAACACTTGAAAATTGAAGAATATTGTAGAAACAATCACATGGAAAATAAGGCATCAAGCAAAGTTTTACCACGGCAAGCAATTAAGGCGACAGCTTGGTAAATAATACGTGGTGGCAGCAGGTATAATGCTTCGTAATTAAGCATTCATATGTAGCAGTAGCCAAGAGTTTTAGCAAAATAAGGAAGTATAAGGCGGCAAGTTGGAGGTAAAGTTAGTCGGCTAATCATGATTATATATATGAGTGTTTTGTAGCTTAGGTATGTATGAAATGAGTATGTAAGTGAGTGAAAAAAATTGAGAGAAAGTAAGAGAGCTTATCAAAGCTTGAGTTTGTGGAGTTTGTAAACTAGCCGCAGCTAGTGTTGTCATATTGGGGTAACGTCGTTGTAACGTATTTTGCTTTGTATCAATAATAGTTCGAGCTATATAAATTATCAAGAGTCTACTTATGCTTCCAACAGTTGTTCTCCCGGTTCTAGGGTTTTATCTTGGTTAATTCGGATTGATATGAGTCGTACACCTGACTTTGATGATTAAGTCTCTTAGCGAGAATTTTCTACATACACAATGACTCGAACCCGAAATATTGCTTAAGTGATATCAAGTTACTTACCACTTGAACCAACTCATTGATTATTTATTGATCTATCTCAAGATGATTCTTTCATATTGACAACTAATGATAGCCACCCAAATATATTATATTTGAATTATAATAAAGACAATTATCAATACATTGTCATATTCTATAACCATATTAATATTAAGGGATAGGATCATACTACACAATATAAAACTCTTTGAGTTTTACGCAGATTTAGAATCGTTAGATGAGTTAAAACAGATGGATGAGATTAAAAGTAGGAAATGCGAATA